GGGGGGGGGGGGGGGGGGGGGGGGCACACACAGAAGGTGAAGGTGGTAAGAGACGAGGGGAAGGAGGGTCAGAAAGGGAGGGGGATATTGGACGTACGTAACAATCAACAATGGAGACACGCATTGCGGTGACCTTCCAAAAAAATACCACGACAAAGGGATTTAAATTGCCCTGGTTCCAGCAACGTGTGAGCAACGCAACAGACGTACGCAGCACTATTGCAACGCTTCGAACAAGGTGCGAATAGACACACAGGCAGCGATATTCCCATCTCTGTGTGTGTTCACAAATTTCGTCCAAGAGGGCATCTACTTGAGAGAATGACGAAAGCGTTGGTAGAGCATTGACACATAGTAATAGATAGCAGTGTTCGGTTTACGCATCGACTCACCTGCGACGTCGTGCGCTAGCGGGAGGCTGTGACTCCTGAGGGTATCGACGAGGTCATCGTCCACCTCCACCTCCACCCTCACCAAACGGCTTCGCCTGGCCGCCTGTTTTGGAGACGCGAAACAAGCACACGACAACCAACATCAATCAACAACACCGGTAGACGGGACACAACCACAACGCAACAGTGTGCAAGTTCGGCAGCGGCGGCGGGAGGAGTGGAGGGGGGGGGTGAGACAGTGTCAATGATGGCATACACTCATATTCGGCGGGCGGGGGGTACATGGGGAGGAGCCAACACAAGGGCACAGACTCGACATTCTTCATCAAGTCAAACACGACAAAATCTAAAAGCTTCACCTTCATTTTCCATACTAAAACTTGTACTTGACGAGCGTTCTCGGAGATACTGGCGAAAAAACGAAAGTGCCGCGATTGGAACACCAATTTACGGGCAAGCAAGCGAACACGTTTTCCCAAACCAACAAACATTTAACACAACTTGACACTTCTACGACAGACCCCAAAACATCGTCACCGAAGGGGACACGACAAGGTTCAGCATCACAATTACTAGTATACCCACGATTGGGTACCGTAATGATACTGTATGCATACATCACGGGTGAAACAGCAGTACCGGTATGTACCATGCAACGTGAAAAAGTTCCGAAAGCTTGTGGTGCCTTTGCTCGACGCAGGAAGGTGCATGGCAACGTAAAACAGAACAATTTTCGTATTCAATGGTTGATAGTGTTCAGCACCAACCAACAACTGCGTTTTACGTGAACGACTCCCCTTCTCAAAAACAAGAACACTTTACCCTATTCCAATGGTTCAGATGGAAAGGCAAGCAACCAAACGAGCGCGTTCTACGGGAACGACTCACCTCCATCTCAGCGAGAGAGGAGAACTCCGTCATCGCGATGAGCTTGTTCACCGCACCCTGCTCCTCCACCAGAAGCTCGCTTCCCTCCGACAGCTCCAGCCCAGCTAGCTCTGCCCCGGACCCGCCCTTCCCCGCTAAACCCGACGACTTTCATGTGTGCGGGGTGAAACAAAGCGCAGACGCGTGTGCGGCCAGCCTTGAGGAGTCTCCTATTGAGTAGCACGTACTTAGGGTGGGCCGGGCGTGTGTGTGTTTGTGTTTGTGTGCTCGCCCCATCTATTCTGGCGCCAGCCTAAGATACACAACTTTCAGTGTACATTTCTGACGAATCAGCCGGGGGTCACGCAGGAATGTTGCTTGTTGTTTTTTCGGTCGAGTTGGAATCAATTGCAGAGAGAAATGAACTCCAAGTCTCTTCCCGCTACAAATCGTTCGTCGCACAACGAAATGAAAACAAATGGGACAGCAAAGGCTTGAGGCATCAACATAGCCAAGTCGCGGCATTCGAGTGACAACAGCGGGAGAGCACCTGCACCTCACTGAAAACACCCCAAACCGGTGATCGGAAGCACTCGATTTTCTGCGGCATGCTCGTCGACGATGACGGGAAACTGCAGTTGTGGTGGTCCCAGCAACAGCAGCGAAAAGAGCGCTCTCCTGAAAGTGCTCTCCGTATGCTTTGGTTTCATCCCTATTCAACGTTCGGGTCGCCATGACCCTCCTCTAGATGATGCCTACGATGACCGCACTGTTGTAGCTCTAGCGCCAGTCTCGTGCTGTGGACACACGAGACAGCCCAAGTGCAAAAGAGATACACGGGGTAACTTTGCTACAACAAAAAATATCGCACAGCAGACTTGCGCTACCTACTACCTACCCAGGACACAAGTCTGCCACCAAATACAGAACCAAATACAAACACGAGACCACCGAACGAAGCAAGCAACACATATCGTAACAGCTATAATAATAGCGACAAGCGCAAACCAGCTCTATCTCCCTCGCACGCATCACAAACCACACACGCAAGACGCACTCAGGCAACGAGCCACAAAGAAGAAACAAGCTCAGCCACCTCACCACCTCACCTGCCACTCCTCGAACACGCCGGAGGGCCCCGCGATCTGCACCGCCTCCATCTGCGGAGCCCCCGCTCCCCCTCCCCCTCGTTCTGAGGCGCGTTTTCTGCCGCTGTCGAGGTAGTCGGGGGCGACTGCGCTCGAAAAATTCCTCAGCAGGGAGATGCACATCTTGGAGGTGCTAACCTCTGCGGGGCCCCTGTTGGACACCAGCTCCACGACTTCAGACGCCGTAACTCCCGCCCGGGTGTACAGGTCGCTCCACGTCTGTGATGTCTGGAAGGCGAGGGACGAGAAAACGGCAGACACACACGTGCGTGTGGGAGATTGAAGCACGGCGATTGAGCATTTGAGCCAAGGGGGGACGATGTCCGCGCGTGAGAGAAAAGAGACAGCACAGGAGAACAGGAAAACAGAGCTGGTTCTTTTTCGAAACAAAGAAAAATATGAGGAAGAGAGAAAAGGTGACCGCCGCAAGGGGTACATGAGCCGTGTCGTCCTGCTGTGGAAACGGCATCCAACGCCCAGCAACGTAGTTAATGCACAGCAGGCTGTCGCGGTAAAAGCAATAGAGCGTTCGCGCCACGCACCGACCAATACGGTGTGTGCATTTCTCACACCTTGCAATTCTCACACACCGCTTCCGCCGGACAACAGCTTCCCTCAAAACATCAAAGTTGGAGCAGCCGCGGTGAAAGCCTCCGTGAGAGGCAATGACATGCCACTATTTGATATGGGGACTTTCAGGAGCGGACCCCAACAAACTGTTTAACTGACAGGCCGTATGTATGCAACACGGTGGGCCTCGAGGGGCAAGAAAACGAAACCAACAAAAACAAAACTAACATCACCACCACAACACCTACAGCAGCAGCAGCAGCAGCAGCAGCAGCAGCAGCCACATCATCGACAACGACCGACACCAACAGCAACAAAGCCCACCACGGAACACCACGACATCTAGAGCAACAGCAGCGTGTACAACAACCACATCATCAAAGACGACAAACACAGCAACTTCAACAGAGGCAGCAACAACAAATACCACGGTTGTTTGGTGGGAAAGGGGGAAAAGTGCGGCGAAACTCAAAAAAACTTAACCCTCTCACCTCAGCACGGGACCCACGACGTTCAGGGACGCGTCCGAACCCTCCTGCCTGCTCGAGGATGTTGTCTATCCACGCCGACTGGTCCATGTCTTCCGAAGCCTTCAACACCGACACCTGTTGCGTAGCGTAAAAAACACACACACACATAATCGAAAAACTGAACAAAAACAACAGGAGAATAATCGGAGCAATTGCTTCAAATCGTTCCCATAATTTCGCTCGGCATCTTGTAGAAAAGACCACACGCCCACTGCAGTTGAATAGCCCGCCAGCTGACCGCAACGTTCCCCACCGTGATAAATTTCAAGATAATATAGCGTCGCCCCATCCCCAAGGCGAACACAAAATGCCGCTGGCCCTGACAATCGGGTGTGTTTGCTCGTGTCGCACAAGGCAGGTTAGGTTAATGTTGAAAACTTCGGGTTAGGGGTACGTTAGATATCACCGGGTCGCATAAAGTAGGTTAATCTTGAAAACGTTAGACATGACCGGGTGAATTTGCTCGTGTCGCACAAGGTATTCTGATCTTGAAAAAGTTAGATATCACCTCGTGTGTTTGCTCGTGTCGCACAAGGTAGATTAACCTTGAAAGCGTCAGACATCACCGGTTGTTTGCTTGTGTCGCTCAAAGTAGATTGACCTTGAAAACGTCAGCGTGTCGCTACAAGGTAGGTCAACCTGTAACCCTTGCTCACCACGAGTCGGATAGGGCGTGTCTCGGGGCCAGGGTCCGGAACCTCCACCCCGTCAATCCTCCTCCCTTCCCACAGGAGCACCAGGGGGCCCTCCGGCTGGTCCCAGTCAAGGTCACCAAGGGTGGGTACCGTCGCAGTCGACGTCGCCCCCGCATCCTCCTCCTGCCTCCCCCCGCCGCCGCCCCTGCGGCGGTGGTGGTTGCTACGCCTGCGCGGGCTGTTCGCTCGATGGCCGGGCTGGTCGGGGAGATGCTTGGATGGGTACATGCCTGGCCCGTGGGCCGTGAGCTGCAACGTGGTCAAAAGACAGGCATAGACGGGGCCAAGGTGTGTGTAGTTATGTGCATACTGCATTTCCATTTTCAACGCTTGGTTGGGCCTGGCGGTAGTCTCCACGTTGTTCTTATTACGGCATCACGTTGACGGTATCACAGTGTGCCGGATTAGCGCACTGCTGCAGCGTATCGCTTGCTGCAAGATACGAAACCTTCGTCTGGCCACCATTGAAAGTCCGCTGACCGGCTGAATTATACGCCAGCAAATATTCTTACAGCCGGCAACCTTGAAAAGAGCCTTACAGGACCAAGGCAAATTTACGGCCGCTGAAATATTGGATCCTCTTCCCTCTCACCTCACCAGAGAAGGTACGACAACAGCATGTGATGATTGAAAAAAACATACAGGGCCAAGATATATTTTCGGACCCTGAAAGTTCGAATCCCCTCCTTTCTCACCACACAAGAGAAGGTGCGACAACAGCACGTTATGACAACAAAAAATAAAAAACAGGACCACGGCAAACTTACGGAGGGTGAAAGCTCAATCCTCTCTCACCTCCGACAGCCGCGCTCTCCCCATGTCAGACACGCCCATCTCTCTGCAGAACTCCCCGAGCCTTTTGACCACCTCCTTCTTGAGGTCCTTGACCGTCTGACGGTCGTCAAGGTGCAGCACTAGCGGGGAACGCAGGGCCTCCGGGAGCTGTCGATGGAGGGAGTTCCAATAGAGAACCAAGCGTGCGGCCGTTGCCATGAGGGGGGTTGAGGAGTTGACGGGAAAAATTGAGAATCGGAGTATATAGTAAATAGATTTTTAATAACAAACGAGAACTCAGTATCCATGCGGCTTAAGTTGGCACCCACCGACGTGAAAACACTATTATAGGCACTGAAAGCTCTAGCTATGTGACACGACATGCAACATCAGCGTACGTGCATGCCAACGCCAAAGTCTCGTGACCGAACCACGAGACACCAGTCGGCATGTTCACCCACGCCTAGGCCTCGGCACTGAAGCCATCCAATGATCTACACGAACCCACGACTTGTTTTTGTTCTCATTCCACATGTCATTCGCAACTCATTCTTGCCAAGCGCGGTGGGACACAACACCATCAGAGCAGCAGCAGCAGCAGCAGCTGGACACTATCGTGCACCTGGTCCAGATTAGACGAAGAAGGATCCAGCGGCACCAGGTGCGGCATCTGGACCTGTAGGAGCTTGGGAACCCAGACGGTGACCTTGATTCCGTGAAGGTCCGCTTCCCTGAAAAAAAAAAAAAATGAAACAAGAAAACGGAAATGAATGAACGGCAGTGCGAGAGGTCGGGTCAGTCAGGGTTGAAAAGGACTTGTTTTCGACGGGAATGTCTACCACCCCACAACGCCCTTCTGGTTTTCAACAAGGTGTGGCGAGCACGATCAGGTTTAACATTCCTCCCAATGCTGCTGTGTACTGATTTTCCGAAGAGGCGACGACGGGCATCAGCAGGATCGTGTTCAGTGCAGAAGATTTCTCGTACATGTAGTTCAAAGACAAGCCAATCAGGTAAGCAACCAGACTCTCGTCGCTTTTAATACCATACCGCTGATCGCCCCAACCAAGGCTCTCGCCGCTCCGTCCGGTCGCCGTGTTTCGTCATCTTCCTGTGCTTGGCCCTTGCCTCCCCGTCGGCCTCGACTACCATGCCATGACGTACGATAACACCCCTGCCATACCCGACCCCTCCACCCCCTCAAACTGTTCTGCACTAACTCTTGTGGGGCTCCTTCGAAGTCAAGGCGAAAATGTTGCCGCTTTTGTATTGCCCTTCCCCGGCATGATGGCAACGACATACCCATTGTAGCCATTGTCAGTGCCATCACCAAGAAAAAGACACAACAGCTGCTGTGCTACATACTATGCAATACCGCACCGATCAACACGTGCCCGAAAAATAATCCCTAACAACCACCATTCATTGTGGATTAACCACCACCTTGTGGATTAACCACCACCTTGTGGATTAACCACCACCTTGTGGATTAACCACCACATTGTGGATTAACCACCACCTTGTGGATTTGTATTGCGTCCCCCAAACTGAAAAATTTGAACATCGAAAAAAAAAAAAAACTGATTCAGAAAGTACCCAACATGCGACGAGAGTGTTCCATACAAATTCTCGCAAAAAGTCCTCCAGTTTCTAACGGAAGTCGCAAAAACGAAATCAACCATGGACTGATTTGATCGACTCACTTGCTGTCTTTGGCCGTCTTGAGAGAGTCGTTCTCGGTGTCCACCTTGTCCATCCAGTACGAGGGGGGCACAGAGGTCATGTGCAAGCCCCCCGGAAGATTCCGCGGGCCCCCCGATCCAGCGCTGCTGGCGCTGACAGCCGCGGCGATGTCCGCTGGCGAGACGGGCGAGCCAGCCTCTTGATCTAGTGACCTATTTTAAGTATTGTTGTATGCGTAGGGTACATACAAAATCGACGAAAAGGATGAAAAAAAAGTAAAATACAACGTTTGCTGAGAGCGTCATCTCGGATCGTTCCTCAAAAAGACGAGCGAGCTAGTTTGTTGGTCTAAATACGGGCCTACGTAATGGGTACAAAATTTTGACGAAAAAAAAATGTTGAGAGCGTCGACTCGATTCATTTCTTTAAGGACTACAATTAACTAACCCTAATGTTCTACGTTGGCGAACCTTTCGGCTGAATCTAAACTGCTGTGACAAGACAGACCCATGTAAAACGAGAACACCACCACAACACTAATTATAACATTATCTTGCCATCGCACTGCTTTCGTTGACTTTTGAAGGAAAGATTTCGGGAAAGAAAAGGTGGAAAAAAAACGAAGCTGCCGGGAATTGAACCCGGATCTGATCCGTGACAGGGATCAATTCTAACCATTATACCACAGCTCCTTCATGTCGGCGTCCAATTTTTTCGCTATAGAACATGGATACACTTTCTGTTGTTGGTATTGGGTACAACTGTATACCGTATATGACACAAGATAACACACCCCCTGGACCGATTTTCAAAGCTCGATTACTCCACGACGAAGAGGATGCATAAATGAAACAATACGTTTTCGAACAGCTCTCGACGAGACGGTTCCAACGCCGCCGTTTTCGGCGCTGTGACTCTTCCTGCTGTTGAGAAATAGAGCTTTGAAAATCGGCCAAGGGGGTGTGTTATCTTGTGTCATATACGGTATGTGTTTCGCCTCACCCACCTTTTCTGGGCGCCAGTCCTACAATGGCCTTGTCACTGAAAAATATAAAAATATTATCCGGGGTCACCTAGAAGGAAGGGAACACATGTTTTTTTTTTTGCCTCACCTTGCGCTGCTTACAGTACTTTCGATTGATAAATCAACAACAAAAGGTAAAGGTTCAGCAAATGGCAGTCACCCATCACAACAAGCCACGCCTTGACTATTTTGTGCTCTTGCTCTTGCTCCTTACCCTCTTGCTGTGGGTACTCCTACTCACGTAGAAATCGCTTTCCACCGCAAAATTGCAAATTGTTCATTCTCGAGAGACGTTCACAAACACCAGTGCCACACCAGACCCCTTCAAGCTCCTGTTACAGTAGTCGGTCTACGAGGTTCCCCGCTAATATTGGACTATGCGACCGGCACGTGTAGTGCAGTGCTGTAGATACATGCCAGGCGGAACATGCTACAAGTATTTCATTTTCGTTGCCGGAGCACATTTTTTTCAATTTCAAAAAAAAATTACCTGTCCACAGAAAAAAATTCAAGAGTCAAGAACAATTTAGCAAATACTTCGAAGTATTTCGTATTAGTTTTCAAGTGTGTTGTGTGACCTATTGTGCCTGCGGTTGTACTGCAATATTCAATGTTGTTCGAGCAACATAGAGATAGTCTCCTACTGCTGCATGCCGATGCTGTCGTAGATGTACCGCACCTGGATCTGTAGATGAGCAGGTAAGCAGTCTCCGCCCCTTCGAATGGCTTCTGCAGATCGCGAATAGAGATCGGCGTCACCTGCCAAGCCAAACCATGTCAAACACGAATACCCACAACATCGGTTAGGCATGATTGACGATCGAGGCATTGAGGTACAACAACCCCTCCGTTATTATGAGCACTGATGATGACGTCACTTCACAGCCCGGCTGGCATGCATGACCTATCATAAAAAAGAACAAAAATGAGTTCATTGCATTATTTTTGTATCATTTGCATTTTTGTATATCAATTAAGTAAAAAATAAAATAATCTATCCCAGGCTCTTTTTACCTGTGGAGAAGATTTTGTTGTGTCATAGGCAAGAAAACATTAGAAAAAGAAAGAGGTATGTTCACCAGAGAGCATCAAAAATGTGTGTGACTTGTCACGGAGGTGACTGCGAGTGATGTAACGCTGTGATGTGATTGACACGACGTGACTGACACACACCTTCCGGTCGTCGAAGCTAAACCACCGGCCGTGTTTCTCCGACGCGAGCGCATCCACCGCCCCCGGGGGCACCGCCTTGCTCGCCGCCAACCCTTTGCCTCCGCCACCGCCGCCGTCCCCCGCAGTGTCCGCAAGTGCAGTCCCGTTGGCCGGCGCCAAGCTTTGATGGCCCGCAGACTGCTGTTGGAGTGACAGCCGCAGCACTTCCTCCAGCTCTGGGTCCGACCCTTCGAAGTTCATGACCATGAGCAGGCACACAGGAATAGGGGTGGTCAAGGTTCATGAGTCGACACACAGCGGTACATAGCGGTAGGGTCGATTACTACACGTGGTTGTGTGGAGGAAGCCAGCAAGACCGCGAGAGAGACAGACAGGGGAGCGACGAAAATAGGTCGGCCGGCAAAAAGTGCGACAAAAATACTCTTCGCCAGCACGGGCAGTACAACAGCAGCAGCGGGATCAGTACAAGAGCAGACGTCACTGCCATCACGACGTCAGCTCAAAAATTCAAACCGCGGCAGGACAAACTCCAAGACCACCATCATCACAGACAGCCCCCCTTCCCCTCCCGACGTGTCTCACCATCCGCACCGGGGGCCCCACCCACCCCACTCTCGGCGGCGTTTCCCGCGGGGGGCTCCGCGGCATCACCCTCACCCCCCCCCGGCCTGTGCAGGAGGAGCACTTCCACGCCGTTGGTCTCTGTCTCCTGGAGCATGAACACGTCTGCGTGGTCCTTGATGAACTTGTCCAGTCGCGGTTTAAATACCTGAACATACCGGGGGTAGTGCGTACAGCAGGACCATCGCAGCAGGTAGCAAGGAATGAGTAGATATGCATAGGCAGCAATATTTGATGGCTGCGATAACGATATTTCGCAGGCCGTCGTTGATCGAAACACGAACACCGCTGCTAAAGACTGTACGGCGACAGCCGTGTTTGCCGCAAACTCATCTATTCTGATCGTCGATTTGTTTTTCACATACACGCCTTGCGGAATGTTAACGATTAATGTTGTTGAAGAAGCACTGCATAGACGGCGGCGCATGGGAGAGGAAGGCCGCACACGAATCTTTTCCATTTTTTCCACCTTCTGGTATTGATTAGCCTTCAATGTCAACTGCATCGCGAGGAAGGACGCAGGTTGGGTCTTTTCACCCCAAAGTGTCAACCACATTTTTCCATTTCGATTTTTGAATGTGCTCCGTATCCGGGAGCTTTGAAAATCGAAAAATCGAAAACCGGAAAATCGGAAAAACCGAAACAGCAAGAATCGAAAGGCGAACATCGAAAAACGTGGCGTTGTATCATACCGTAGTGATTCAAAACATCGCCATGAGGGCCACAGGGCATCCTGCATAACGAATGTCAATGTTTAATGTTCAATGTTTAATGTTAATAATAGTTCCTGGGGTGGACCTGAGTGAGGTGGGCTCGTATCCTCGTATCGATACTCGGCAAACTAAGCGAGAAATGGGTGAATAAACGTGCCGGTCTGATGGCAGAAAAAGGGAAAATGGCTGTCGCTAATAAAGGCACAAATCATGTACATGACTCTCTTCCCCCCCCCCCCCCTCTCTCTCTCTCTCTCGTGTTTGATCCCCCATAAGGAGCGACGGAGCAATCCTTACCACAATTTTCTACCTGGTAGTACTTTTTCTGCTGCAACTTCTCCCCCCCCACCCCCCACCCCCGCCTCTCCAATCTCCAATCTCTCGTGTTTGTAAATACCTTGTCCCATCTCTTGCCGCCCAAGCGCGAGCGCGTCTTAGCCCTCAACTCCTTCAGCTGCAAGCAAGGCTTCTCCAGCTCTTGGTGCTTCGGAGCGTCCTCGAACACCTCTAGCAATAGCTCCATCGGCCTCTGCTGCTGCTGCTGCTGCTGTGTCTTACCGCCAATCCTGTGTGGACCTTTTTCGCCAGGTATTGTTGGTTTTCGTGTGTTGGAATGAAAACGTGTTGGGTTTGAATGTAGACAGGTGGTGGAAGGGCTCGTCAGCAGCAGCAGCAGCAGCAGCAGCAGCTTTGCTACGACAGGGAGAGCCACCGTGTACGTACCACCGCACGTGGCGCTACCCTTCTCAGAAATCGGCTCTAACTTTTGTTGTTGTGACATATTTTCTGCCATACATGTATGCCGAATGCGGGGAGATTGACACGACGTTCGATTTGCTACTGTTGCGACATCAGTAGTTCTCCGAACTGTGATCAGGTAGGCATAGAAGGTGGGTACTACAATGCATACCACAACGTGCAAGACTCAACAAGAGTGAAACCTCGTGTTTGTGACGGTTGAAAAATCCATACGTTACAAATGCGCCCGAATATGCATACGACAACGTGCAAGACTCAACAAGAGTGAAACCTCGTGTTTGTGACGATGAAAAATCTATAAGTTACAAAATGCGGCGGAATAACAGACACCGAGTGGTCGCACTAGGGGAAAGGTTCCGTCCTTTGTCATGGTAAAGAAGAACCATCGAGAAAGGGGGGAAATCATAAAACTGCTCAAGTGGATGATGTGGTGGCTGTGAGTTGGGGTGGTGGTGGCGGTGGTTAGCGACGTTACAAGGGAGATGCCGAAAACAAAGTCCCCTTGCCGATACTCCCGACCCAATTGAGCAACACAGCAGATTCCTAAAGGTGTACAAGTTCATGACTGAAGGCGTACAGACGAAAAGAAGTGACAGAGACGGCCAAAAGCAGATTGCAACCTCGAAAAATAAATAACCAAGACGGACTATTTTATCTGTGAAAGAGATACATTTGTTGTGTTCTTTGCAAGACAAAAACACTAAATAAAAAATATATGAAAAAAACATGAGCGGGTCTCACCTGTCCCCGCTCCTAACGACCCATCGCTCTTCTTGCTTTCCTCTTGGCCACCCCCATCCCCCCCCAAGCCAACGCCTTCCTTCTCCTCGTCTTCCCCCGCGTCGGCCGGTTGAGACGGATTCAACCCCGACGGAGGGAGCCACCGGCCCTGTCAAAAGCCAACCAATCATATTAGTTTGGAGGGAGCCACCGGCCCTGTCGAAAGCCAACCAATCAAATTAGTCTGGGAAGGATTCAACCCCCGACGGGGGGAGCCACCGGCCCTGTCAAAATCCAACCAATCAAATCCACGCACGCACACGGAACACACAGGCGACACACAATTCACGCGCAAAACCGCCCCAAATGTTTTCAATGTACTTCATTCACAACGAAAGTAGGAGCACATCATCAATCATGGGGAATAATTCGCTACCATCTTTGGTGTTAGGTTGGTCTTGACGCCTTCATACTGAGAAACCTGAACAACGCCCGCGAAGGTGCGAAAATGTCCTTCTTGGCATGACTGAGAGTTCACACGGGATGTCCCATGGGACGTCTCATCGTATGCCCATGGGACGTTTCACTTGCATTCCCAACAAGGTATGCACGAACCCGCAATGGCAATGCACCTTGCGATTATTTACTGTCGTGTATCATCGAAACCTCCCTCCCCAGAGTAGCGTGGCATCAAGGGGGAACGGAGGAGGGGAGGGAACGAGGGAGTCATGTACACCTAGAAGGGTGTCTTGCGATCTCTCACGACCATCCTCAAAGATGACGTCATCACCCCTGAACCCCGCCACGAAATCATCGCGACATGCATAGCCCGGACTAATCAACAGCAAACATTCTCCACCCCAACAAACCCCATCAAACCCATCCCATCCCATCCCTCCTCACCTCCTGCAGGCAGTCTCTGATAAGGGCGTGGTAGTGCCCCGAGTACGCGCTTCCCCGGTGCACCACCACCGCAAGCAGCTCATACACTAGCCCCCCCCCCTCGTCCTCCTCCCGCCTCAAGCCGTCTCCGATGCCGCCGGCCCGCCCTCCATCTCCGTCGAACTTGGAAGCTTGGCCGGGGTCGCTTGTTGCGGCGAGAGATGTTTGGAGCGTGATCGCTTCAGCTTGAGCGTCGTTCCACGCCTGCGGCACCCACTTTTGGCGGTTTCGACAGGTGCCCGGCACTTCGGGGTCCCCGGCCAGATCGGGAACCTGGCGTTGTGCGTCGGGGGTGTGACCGTGTGGGAATGGGTGAAGAGTTCAGGCATTTCGATTCGGCGGAGAAACCGCCTGTAAAGGGCGAGGAGGCATGTGTGGTCATGACATCGTTCGTCACATGAAATTCAACGACTGAATTCAACGACAAACAAAAGCAGCAGCAACGAATACATAGTCGACGTCTCTCCAAACGGCAGAACCAGCTTACCACTTGTCTCTTGACTGTTTCGAGACAAACACAAGAGGACGGGTGGACAGAGCACAGCTTTCGCTGGCGACGCTCGAGAACAGAGGATTCTTTGTCTGTCAGACCTCAATCACAAAAAAACGAGAAAGCGCAGCAGCGGCGGCGGCGGCGGCGGCGGCGGCGGCGGCGGCGGTTACACGTACGGCGACGGCAACGGCAACAGCAACTTACTTGGCTCTCGTCCGAGTTATCGTTGCCGGACCACGCCCGACCTTCCACGAAGGGCTCCATGTCCAGCGTGAGGGGGTACTTGAACTCCTGCTTGACCTTCACTCGCTCCATCGTCTCGAAGTCGAACTCAAACCTGCGATGCGATGCAAGTCCAACACATGAAGTCAACGCATGTTGGTGTCATGTCACGGATACAGACGCTGTCAATAACATTCACCACGGGTGTTTGAAGCTTCGAATTGTCATGTTGAATCTTTCGTTTTCGCCATCTTTGAATCAAGTGGTCACACAAGATTTCATGTTTCGATTGGCGCCGCCTGTGGCGTTCTTCCTGAGGTGTCATCACGGTTTCATCCCAAGCGAAACGTAACATCAAAGATTGCGCGTGTTGCTCTTGTACAGGCTAACTCTAAACCACCTTGCCCGCGTCTCACAAGGGTGCGGCTAGGCAAAGACAATGTATCGAGTCAGACAACACCATAGACTACACGACCGATGACGAGAGCGGTAATCAACTTGCGACACAGCATTGAGCTCTCCATATGTCGCTGTCAAGCTCCGGACTAACTAACCGGTTGAGGCACCGCGTCTCTAGATGTCGCTCTCAAGCTCCCCACAACGAACCTATTGAGGCATAGCTCAAAGCTCGCAATAAAAAAATAAAAAAAAACCTATTGAGGCTGAAGATGAGCACGGGAGGGAGAGCCCTCAGAGTCTGGGACCGCAGCGCGTCCTGCTTCTCCTGGCACTGGTCACAGAAGTACTTGTTGTCGCCGGACAAGCGCTCGGGTCGCGTGTAGCTCAGCAAGCTCGTCACCTGGAGTCATGTGTGCATGCAAGCGTCCACTGTCGGTTCGACGTTCAAGATACCCCCCGGAATATGCGGCGGAACCGTTACCCGTTCAGCAGAAACGGGCACCAACAACCTGAAACAAAAATAGGTCGTGGCTTCCGGTGGACGGTATCAGGCAAAACAGGCCACTCCAACCCTTCTGTGACTGCGCAAGGGGAGGCAGCTCCGATGACTTAGCGTGCGAAAAGATCGCGGGCATGCCTCGCCTACGGTAGAGATAGAGAAAAAACACACACATACACAAACACACCGAGAGACCAAGAGAGAGAGACAAAAGATCCACACCAACACCCACGATTGCATGATTCACGAGGTACTTCGGTAAGGCTGCTGGACTAAGGTCAGTCTCCGTCGGAAAAAAACATGTCAGCAACATATGCGATTGCAAGATAATCCCCACTACACCAGGAGCCCCGAAACCCCATGAAACACATACCATCCAACACCCAACACCCCAAAAGCAACTCTCGAAACTCACCAGGTCCTCCTGGCCTGCCACCTGCAGCAGGACGTCGCGGTACTTCTCCCTCCTCTCGCTAACGTGTCCGCAATGGAGGCATTTCACCTTCAGTGCGGTAGAGGCAGCAGCAGCAGTAGCACGGTCAGCGGTTAGAAACGTTGGGAAGCAGGCCATCGACACCGGATGCTGCGGTGAGAGCAAACAAATGTGGCGCCCTTGTTTCGTCAACTTCACGAACAGACACCAAAACATCGTACAAAAAAAGAGGAATAAAAACATAAAAACACGCATAAAAAATAACGCGTGCGAGAGTATGCTCCGCGTAGACGCAAAAAATGGACGTTTGTTGCCAGGGTGGGGTAAGAGTCGACATCCAGCCGGTACCCAACCCTAACCATAAATCTGACCTGATTGGCTAGATCCCCCTCGTAGAGAGCCGAGACGAGGCCGGCGTTAACCTTGGAGAGCTTCATGTCCCGCTCCAGGCGGTCGATCAGGAGTCGGATCAGCTCGTGGGCATCGTGCTGCATCCGGCCCTCGTCGTTCTTCCACTTGAAACCTCGCTCCGTTAGGTCCTGCCAACGCCAAAGGTGGCAGCCGATTACGTCAAGTCAAGCCACGCCACGTGGTGCAATGTACTCTGTCCCGCGAGCCTCGCCATGATACATGCTTAACAGCTATAACAAGCAGTAGTGGTTTCAATAGTATGCGAGTCTAGCCAACAAAAAAAATAGAGAGCTTAACGTTACACTTCGCTTCACCAGATGCCACATGATCTGTGGTCATGGAACATGAAAACTAAACGACAAAAATCTTGGTTTAATGCAATACATTTCATGATCTTTTCATCAACGCCTAGACACACAGACACGCACCTCAGTCGACACCGTGCGTGCATCAAGCAGCTGCAGCCGGGCGAAGAGCCTCTGGAGCTCTAGCGGAATCATCTTGGCATTCCTGCTCTTGCTTCCCTTCTTCTTCTTGCCCGAAGCGCCGCCATCTTCCCCTCCCGCACCTTCGCCCTCCTTCTTACCGCCGCTGTTGTAGGCAATGAGGCGGAGTAGACCAAGCCCGGGGGGGGGGGGGGGGGGGGGGGGAATCATTTGAGGCTACCCCCCGGGGTTTGCCCTGGAAGAACCCAAAACGTTGCTATGGTTGGCAACTTTTTTTGAATTTCACGTTTTAACACCCCCCCAAGTTTCCAAAAAAGGGGGGGGGGGGGGGCCCAACCCGAATATTTTGGAAAAAAAAACCCAA